TATGCTGTTGAAGCGTTTAAGCAGCATTGGTGAATGTGAGCCGTGGTTATGCCTTGTTGCATTGTAGCCGCCAAAAGGAATGAGCCCACCGAGGTAATGCAGGTGTCCAAGAGCCGTGCCTGGGAAGTGCAATTCGACAGTTTCATCACCAACGTCCTGGAGCCATCCGGATTCGAGTTGACCCGCTGGACACGCGTGCCGTACCTTTGCGAGGGCGACTTCTCCCGCTCGTTCTACTCCCTCAACGACGTGGTCATGATCGCCCAACCCAAGTCACTATGGCATCCCCACCCCTAGTTGATTTTGAAACCTCTGCTTCCAAGTACACGTTAATCTGTAATCTTACACCTTCACTGAGGTCTTTTTTTGATTTTGAAAATCCGAAGAAATCTGAACCACAGGTCGGAGCGATATTAGCCACAAAGTCTTGTTTATTAATTGAACGGTGCATAACAGTTAAAAAACGCAAAGTGCAAAAATATCCGCTTGGTACAAAATAACTGTCAATAGGCACAAACGTGCGAATCTGACAGCCTGTTCATCTAGTCAGTCTCTTGTGGTGGAGGGAACGATGATTTCTGCTGGCCGAAAGTGGGAGTGCTTGGCACGTCGTACGATAAGGTAATGAACTCAACTCGACGCTTCTCCTTTGCACTTCCGACGGCAGCTGGTGGTGGCGTGGCCGTTGGCGACGGCTGGACGGGCTCCGAGAGGAAGCGGCCGGTGTTTGGGGTGACGGGAAGCGCGGTGTGCGGGCGCTCTGGGGTTTGAGTACCCGGCTGGAAGGAGATGTGTCGCCTACTCTCTGATTTCAGGATGCCGATCACCTTGACTTGAGGGTTCTTGGGGTCGGCGCTCATCGCTACCGGTTTCGTTACCTCGTCACTAGTACAGCAACAACAACAACAAAATCGGCGAGCTTTCACCGTCGCTCATTTCAACAAATCCCACAGCTTGTTGCTTCCTCGCCGCTTAACTCTTTTTTAGTTGCATGCAGCCAGTGGTAATTACACTAAAATCACTTCCGGACGCCGGTGTAATGTGCCGGTTCGTGGGTGAAAACGACGTTACTTCAAGCGGCGTAAATGGCACATACGGAGTTTACTACGTTATTAACTGGATCTGCAGTAAGACTAGTCCTGCTGACCATAAAAAGCGCAGAATTTTGCAGAATCGGCTCGTGAGACCAAATTAGTCAATCCTTCAAAGTGCCTCAAAGTTGTTTGTGCGTTTCAGCCATATTGCTGTTTTACAGTGCAGAATTACTTGCCAGGGTTCTTACACCCCACTAGGTCATAGGCCCACTACTAAACTTGGAAAAGGATGCGTGGTTTGTGGCTAAAATAGACCGAGTCCTCGGAGTGAACCAATGGACTAAGGTCTGGCGGGTGGCACACGTATGAACGTACACAATCGGAGCATCCTCACGAGTGACCGACTCGGCGGCAGTTGTCGCTGACGCAGAAGCGGCTCCCACACCCAACGCTCCTCTGTAGGGCGTGCCCAGTTCCTCAATTGAGAAGTGTATCAGCGAGCAGTAGCCGTCGGTAGAGGTGACTGCCACCAGACGCCCGTCACTAGACCACGCTGCATCGTTGAGCGCTTGGTAGTGGATTTGACTGACCTACGTGAAGACAATGATTGTTGGCTGTGTTAGGTGTAAAGCAAATGACCAAGGCCACCACGTTGGTGCAGCAATCGGGATTTGTGCAAAGTGATTGGGGAAAATGCCAGCTTAAGATAGTGGAGAACATGGGTGTCGTACAACCTACAGCAATATTGTCGGGGATCCAGGATTCCCCCAAGATGCCTCATCGCTGTTTTCGTCGTTGTTTACACTAATTCCCTAACCACGCCATTTCAGTGGGTGAGTCATCCTCAGGATCGGTGTTAATCCGCTTTCATCCACCCGGTCAAAGTCACCATTGACTTATGTAGGTGTTGGCACTCTGACAAATCAGACACACTTCACGTAAACTAGCCCGTGCTTTCGAGTCAACATGTGAAGGTAAATTGGCAAACGGAGACGGCCAACCTGCGCGAACGGATGGGCCTGTTGGGTGTCGAAGAAGAGAAGCCCATCTTCGAGCACAAGGCAGAAGAGCCAGCGGTAGGGCAACTGGAAGAGACTCGTGCACGCCACGCCGGGTTCGGGGTTGGTCATGCGCAGCTGGAAGGGCTGAGGGCAGAAGCGCACCGCGATCACGGGACGCGGACCCGTGGGCAAACTCAAGCAGGGACCCTTGTTGTTTAGCTGGCTTCGGAGGAAGATGTGTGCGGCGTGTTGCGGAGCGATTGCTACAATGTAGAGGAAATCGTCATCAGGACAAGGTAGTGCAGCGTTTGCATCGGACACTAGGAGGAACAACGATGGATACGAAAAGCGCAAGGTAATGGGTAGGGCCAATGATGGCAATGCAAACAATTGCAATTTCAACTCTAGCGCCTGCTTTCTATACGAATCTGACAGAAGACCAATCGGGGTGAATTTTGACCGTCGTAGTGTGGCTCCATGTTCAAATTCCTTTCAACTTGAGTCGATTTTGCTAATGTTAAGGAAAGAATAAGGAGTGTAATCCCTTGTTTTACTATACTAGGTTATTCAAATTCGCAACTAGTGTCGTGGTATTTTGTGTTTGGTGGCACGCACCTGAAGTGATGGTGACATTTGCATTCACCGCGTCGATGTCGGATGCGATGGAGGCGCTCTTGTTCGTGGCGGCCGCCACTGCCGAGGCCATGTCGCCGGCAAACACCGCCGTCTCGAGGTTGCCCGCGGGGCAGATGAGAAGCAGTCCGTCGGGGCTGATGGCTGGCCGTCGGAAAAAGGACTTCCACGAGTCGTCCTGGAAAGAAAAAAACACAACGCAAAACCAAATTAAGCAACTCGATTCCGTGCTAAATGTTTATCCGGGATGACTTCCTACCTGAAACAAGTGGTGCTTGTCCGCCTTAGAAATGGTCGCGATACACTGTTTTGTGGAAACGTTGTACACGCGGCAAGTTCGATCCGAGGACATGGAGACGGCAAACACACCCAGGGGGTCCCATGCGACGCCCTGGACGTAGTGCTTGTGGTCCCTCAGCACAACAGCCTTGCCGGAACCCGCGGTGTTGTCGGAGGACAAGTCGAGCTGCCAGATGATCGCGGACTGGTCGACTGAGCCCGAAATGATGTTTTCATCGTCCGGGGACCAGCACAGATCATAGATGTCTTCCAAATGGCGGCTAAGCAGTACAACGCGACATGAATGTTAGTGCATAAATGAGGACTATTTGGTTGGAGTATTTGTACCACAAAACGCACCGAAGGCAGCGCAGAGGTAGCCATGTTTCGATTGACTGCGGTTCAACCATCTCGTCTCCTGGCAATGGTGGAGGCGTCGGCTTCTCTTCCGACTCCCTCTGACGGTGCCATATAATGACAAACTGGTCATCGCCGGCGGAAGCCAGATATTTGCCTGAAATAATGACAGCTACTGCTTCACGCAGAAGTAGGGAGATTTAATGAAACAAAATTACTAAAGACTGGTGTGTGTGTCTCAAATGGAATGGAATGGACATAATGGAACAAGGCAAGGCAGTCATCTGAACAGCGACTTGAGGACGTTGACTATTTAAACTTACTTCAACTTCAAGCCAATCAAGTTTAATTTTGTACAGTAATTTCTAGTTTTAGTTCTGCATCAAAGCAGTCCGAATATTGCAAGGTATAGCGCATTCGACACGCCTCCATATGACTTTTTAAAATTGAGAAATGAGTTTCGTAAGCCCAAAGAAATGTCACTTTGTGGACTTGCTCTCTAAGACTACCTGCTAAAAAAAGAAACAAGTTGAGCTTCCGAGGGTGCATTTTTGGTGCCAGTTTGTGGAGAGAGCTTTGTGTTTGAAAAAAGAGCAACACAAGCAAGACAAGACAACCTCAGCCGTAGTTGAAATGGCAGAGGTGAAGTTGAGTGGTGGTCAGCTGACGCATCGGCACGCCCAACCGAGACGCATTCCACGCAGGCTAATGAGTGGAGTGAGTTCTCTTGCCAAATTTGCCAAAATCCATGTTTTTTTTGGAGATTTGCGATAACGCGATAGTTGCTTAGTGGTGACACTAAACACGCCTTAGCAATGTGATAAAACATGCTGGAGGTCACACGAGATCAAACCATCGCTGCGGCTAAATTAAGCATCCAAAAGGTCACACTGAGGGGTCAATCGTGACCGCCACAGCGACCATGGACGATGATTGGAGGGAGGGATGTAGTGCGCAGTGACGGTCCTCATAATTATAAAAGCCCTGAAAGTTTTCATAAGAAAACACCATGCCATGACATATTCAATGAGACTTAACTACCCGAGGGAAAAGGTCCTCAGTGGAACAGGGGTTAACACCAGGGGACAAGTAGTTTTGAGTTCTGGAATAACTTATGAGCCAGCTAACGCAATCGTCTTTTTAAAACTGTATTTTCGATTAGTTGACGACTTCTGCCACTGTTATGCAGGAAAAACAAACTCGTGCACGGCGATACGCGAAGTTTTCCTTCAATCACAAGGCTAAACGGCTCATAGGACGCGTTAGCAGCCAGTGGAATTTGCCCTGTGCAGTAGTCCTAGTGTATGCCGAAGAAAAATGATGAAATAATTTATGAACTGATCGTGATAAGGCCACACACGTAGCGCTTGAACCACGAAGGTGCAGAAGCGGGTACCGTGATGTGATGTGCGAGGTTGCAATGTGATAAAAAGAATTTTAAGCCCACCCATCCACCACCACAATGGCTAAATTGTGTGTAAAACTTCACACAACCAGTGCCTTGGCACCTCTGGTTGCAGAATTTTTGAAAGGCCAGCAGAGAGTAATCATCCGACCCCAGACAAAAACTTCTACAGGATGCCGATCCTTCCGTGATCGATAACAACACAGAGAATCAAATAGAGAGGAAGGTTTGGCCAAAAACAGACAAAGTACCCCATGGTAGGTAGACTCGAATGCCGCGAGAAAAAACTTGAAGCCTTTCTGGAGTGTTAACTGGGGCCACTAATAAAAGTATTAAACAGCAACTGGGGGTTAGCTGAGGAATTCTTTTCCGCAGAGCAAAGTAAGACGAAAAAGTAATGAGGATAAGAGATTCATTACCCGAGGGTGACCATCGGACAACGTTGACGAGCCGCTCGTGTCGCTTCAGTGTTGCCAAGAAAACCAGCCCATCGGAGACGGCGGCAGAGACCTTGACTCCGCTGCCACCGGCGGTAGCTGGGGCCTTTTTACCAGGCAAGTCGCAGCCCTGTAGCATGCCTTTCGGTAGGGGCCTCTTGGAGGCGGTGACGGTGACAGAGCTGGGAGGCGTCCAATCGAGATTTACGCGCCACAGTCGCACCATATTGTCACCGCCCGCCGTAGCTAGACGTGTCCACGACTCTCCCTCCGCGTTCTCGATGCGCTGCTTTGCCTCTGTCGCTTCCTCCTCCTCCGCCTCCCCCGCTCCCTCCACCCTCGGAGGGGCCTTCACCTGCTTCTTGGCGCTCGCCTTCTCGTCAGCCGCCATCACCGCAGAGATAGGGAGTTCGGCAAGTGGTGGGCGGGGTTCCGAGGCGCTTTTGAGGAGGACCGGCGTGGTCGAGGGTTGGACGGGCTGAAGGTCGCACGAGTAGATGGGCAGGGTCTCGTGCCACGCAATCTCCGGAGTCAAGACTTTCATCCCGAAACTGCAAATGGTGGGTTTTGTCAGCGACACAGGGCATACAATAATAGTCGACGTTTTTTAATCAAAGGCATGGGAAGACATCCAGCTGATCTCCAAACGTTACATTACAATTTCAGCGCATTCCAAGTAATAAAGCTGAGAAGAGCCAGGTAATTCGAGAGATTCTGCGTGTGGTTTTGAGTTGCTATGACCACTTACAAGGAAATTACTTACTGGAAAGCAAATAAAGTTCCGAGCAATCGTAGAAATAATGAGTGCTTAACACTACGCAAAATCTTGAGTCGACATCACGTATGTCGCGGTTTTGTGGTTGCACATTGCGTGAAATTTCTGTGTGGCAATTTATGGCCCTCAATGATGTGCTACATTAGTCACATTTCCTACATTTCGAACGCACTTGTCTGGATTGAGAGCGTGAATAATGAAGTAATAATTAGTAACCGATGATACATGAAAAACAGTAATAAACTAACGATTTTTAATAGCGAAAATTCAAATAGTTATCCTATTAAATGCCTCGAAATTCTACACATGCTCGAAGTGTCACCATTGTAACAGAAAAGCTACAGTGCAGACACGTGACTGAGTAATCCAGCGCCTCACGGTAGCATGACAAAACTGCGATAATGCGGAGATATATTGCTCTCATTCTAATATTTTAAAAATCCTGCAAGAACTACTCGCATCGAGCGTGATCTGTTGTTTGGGGTCAATCATTTGCCTACGTAATCACGTGCACACGGTCCGCAGGTCAGAAATTCCAAGACTAACGCTGACATCGCGGGAGGCCACTACGTGAAATTTCCAGGCCAACTTAACGATCGAGGGACAACCAATGTACAGAGCAGAAAACTTTGAAGGAAATAGAAAACATCGAAACCATGGGAGAAATGCGATTCTCTTGTATGAAAAAATCGTGGATACAACGAAAATCGGCGTTTAGGAGGTAGTACAAAAAGATCAACGCCGTTGACACCCGGATTTTCAACCACATCGAAGACAACCCGCATACAGATGGGATCCCTTCTAATAGAAATAACCAGGGACGCAATCAACAATTAGCAACATCAACGCTTACCACTCTAGAGAATATAGCGTGTACAAACCTGATATTGAAATATTAAGAAACGATTTGAGGATTTGGTTATGACACTTTAAAGGCCTTAGTAAATTCACTTCTCTCGGAATATTAATATGCTTATTTCATGCCTTTTTTACCTTTGAATTAATAAACACTAAGTTAGAGCTACGTCTGTGGTCAACGTTCTCAAATATTTACTTGGAAGGAACGTTCCCAGAGTTTGATTCCGACACTAGGTACACAATTTTTCGGTGGCGCGATTACCTCAGTTTCTGTGTTTATCAAAAAGTCCAAAGTTTAGAATCAGATTATCGCTTCTTTCGATCAAAAGGAAACGAGGCACCTTCAGGACAAATCCACCATCAGTACTTTTAATAGCCTCGAAAAGAGTAAATCTCTAGGCCAGACAAAACAGATGAACGAAAGTGCATGCAGACTTCACACAAGGAACCAATCCGGTTGAAAGTACAACGACGGTTTCCTCACAACCGATAAAACCAGAGGGCTTGAAAAATAACGAGAACCTACAATTCCGTCTAAACGCATAGGACAAGTTGTTAGCTACACTTTGTACTAAAAAAGAGGACAATGGAGTTAAGAACAAAAGTTAACGCCTAATTCAAGGAATTAAAATGTCATGGAAACAAGGACATGGCATAAACGAACACGAATTCGCCAACTCTATGCGAAACAAAGGCCAGGTCAATATGTGTCTCGCCAATATTAAACAGAATAGCTCAATAGTGAGTTGACAAGGCAATCGGGGGCTAATTAATTTGATTGCGAGTTTACCTCAAACACTTGATGATTCAACAGGCTAAATAACATAAAGGCGATGAATGATTCGCACACCGACTTATTGATGAAGGTGCGTGAGTGCAAAAGGCAAACAGTGACGTTTTCTATTGCCACAACACTTCGTTGGTAGTTTGAGGCATCAGACAAAATACCGCTTCAGTCAATATCACAGTGGTTAAGTTCAACAATGAACATTCGACACCGGCTTCACAAGCTGACTTTCTCGGAGCAGCGAAAACCGACTGGTGAGATCCGAATCACTGGATTCGCACCAGACGGTAGTGGCGGACCCCTACAGACAGCAATAGATGGTGGAAATCAAACAATGGGCTGTCTGGTGGTGAAGCAACCACCACACTAACTTCGTCACGGCTGGGTGCTGACAACCCCACATAAAAATTGATTTCTCGCAGTGACATCTTGCCCCAAGTGACTCCTACAAGATACAAACTTCGCGCAATATGGACCCACATGCATTTTACAAACTAAATCCTGACCTTGGCGTAATCGAGGTCAAAAGTTGAGCCCCCCTGCACATTCAATTCTTTGACAAATGTATGCGTCAAGGTGACAGAATGCCACTATTGGTGATTGAGAGGTTTGGTGTGATTTTGAAGTAATTTCATCTTATTTAACAACCCAAATTTAGTCGATATTCTCAAAGTTTTATTTTACCACCCAGTACAAACCATGCATGGACAGTAAGTACGAAGTTTATGTGCATCCGTGAGAAAGCCGTGATTTAAATGCATCCTACGCCGTATGCTCCGGTAGTCATCCATTTCGCTGTAAAAAGTAAAAACAAATTTACAGGGCGATTGGTCGTAAAAAGAACGCTAAAAACACGCTTGACGCCTCAGCCTAGTTCTTAGCGGCGAGAATAATCTGCGCCGAATGTGTCTGCTTGTAGCGGTGACGAATGCGTATAAAGTAAGTAAAAAGGCCGCAGCCATTAATTTGGCACGTATAAGTTACCCAAAGACATTCTACCAACGTGCGCATTAGAGTAAGCAGACCAACAGACAACCAGATATCTGACACCTGCATTCCCGACAGATTGTAGCAAGCAGTAGACAGGAGTGGCGCCGTGCCCGAGACATCTGGACAACTTCATTCAGTTCATCTTCTTTTCTTCTCATTCGAAACTCCCCACTTTTTTCCTGCTTTTCATAGTTTGGTTGGGCATTCGGGTTTTCCATTGAATCGATTAATTATGGACAATTAATCACCACGTCCACTCCACAGATTCACTAGTTGTTTTTTACCCGTAATGAAAACTTAAAACGTGAGTTCCGAAACAACCACCAGGTAGAGATGTCAGGACATGAGGGGCAGAACCTATTCGGGGTGCTCGATTACTTGTAAGCAGTAAATGTGGAAGGCGGACATACAAGAGCGCGGGGGTAAGGCAGTGAACGAGGCTGGAAGAAGCACGAGAAACCAGCCATCTCTAAAGAATTGCATAAATGCCAAATTGTTTTTGATGGCAGCCAATTACGTTGGATTTCAATGTCCGCAGTTGTGTGCTTGTTTGCGTGTGTGTCGAGGAAAGGCAAATACTGACAAGGCAATGGGATTAAAGTCGCCCTAATACAAGCGGTTGAATAAAACGAGCTAAAGGAAGGCTTGCAGGCCTGGGCATCAGCTTAGTACTTGCGCAATCTCATTGGCTAACTTGGGACGAAATTCAAGTCGCAACACGCGACAATAAACATCGAAGCAGAGCCCCACTTAGCATCTAACTAAATCCTGTCAAACCGGATTAAGAGCTGGATTCATTACGGAGTTGCAACCTTAAGACGCAACAAACTATGAAGAAAATACGGGAGTAGAGTCTTCTCACACATGTTGTTTTTATTAGAGCAACCTTGGCTGCTCAAACGACACGACGCATTGACGGTGCGCGAGGCGGAAATTCGATCTGGGGGGAAAACACAACCCACATGCGAATGCGTTCTCATAGCCTCGTTTCTAATTGGGGGCAGTAGCAGTGAAACGAAGATGCGGGTTCAAGGAAAACGAGTGGGTCACGACAGACGGCTGATTGATGTGGTTTTAAATCCAAAGCCGCGAAAATTGTCTTTAGCGTCTTAGCTATGCGTAGTGCGCAACACACACACACACACACACCCAATGCCGCTGTCCCAGCCAATCAAGGTAAAATTGAGAACTGCTGTTACGAGCTGGGCTGGTGCGCACGCTACGAATGCCCAGATGGCAACAACTCAATTATAAGGCGGAGAGTCGGATCTGTATCGAATCCCAAGATGAGTGACGTTTTGGTTATGAGGCGAGGTTACTAACAGAAGTAGATTCAATTATCGCCAGTTTTGAATAAAATAGACATCTTCAAAGGCTACTGGTCAAAAGATGGAACCGCATGGCTTCATTTTCAGCAAATTGAAAATTGATTTTATTATAAGTTTCAAATTTGAATGAGGCAGACCGAACAATTCATTGGTGATTCCAAGGTGGCTGGATCGAGGGTTGCCGCTAGCCAACTCATCATTCTACGAGTGTTCTCGGGGTTTCACTCAATAAAATCACCCTTCTTTATTGAATCTCATAGATTTGCGCTAAAAGCTGCAGAACGTCGCTACGTCCTCAAACACTGATGGCAATAATATTAATGTGTGTATCGCTAGGTAAAATACGCTGTACTCAACTCTACGGCACCAAACATATCGACTACTACGGGTAGTAGTTGCGGGCACTTAAGGTAAAACCCTAGTAAAAGGCCACCTTTTTTTCCGGTGGACAGGTTATGAACAAGAAAGCGGATACAAGCATGACCAATTACTGGGTCAAAAGTTTATGCCAGAGAATTAATGTCCGCTAAGAAATACGCCTGAGTAAATAACTGGGGAAAGCAGGGCCCTTTGACTTTTCGAAACTTCTATTGGTAACAGTTAAAGCGCATGAATACTTGCGACCGATTGATTTCGACAATTCCACCTGCATCTATTAGCGTACGTCTAGAGTCGTGCCGAATCAGGGCCGGGGTGAAGCCTCTGCCTTACCCCAAGCGCAAACCACGTAGACACGCGGATTACCACGACCATAAAAACCGGCATATCGACCTGCGTTACTCTTTCCAGTTCCTGACATACCCCAATTACTAAGGTTACCACGATGCCCACCGAGCACGTAAACAGAGCAGGGCATAACTCGTTTAATCGATGACTGCTCACGCACGGGGAGCAATCGTAACGCCGAATGGAGCAAGAGCGCCTCGACACGAGGCAAACAAAGTGCACTGAACACGGTGCTTTCGAGGGTAAAAAACAAAAGCCCCTCGAGGAGAGAACGTTTTTAGGCGCACGTGACACGGGCCGTGTGGGTCATTTCGAGAGCCATAATTAAGCCATCGCTGCAATCGCCTGGTCTGAGGCAACATGACAGTCTGGTAAACACGCAAGGTAGAATCATAGAACCACAACGGAGCGCAATAACCGAAGCAACTCAACTTAAGCAGACATTGAAATTGGGAGGTTTAAAGATCTAACAATGAAAAGTGTTGTGAATAAGGGCACCGCCCAGTGACATGCTTAATTTTAGGAAAACTGACTAGACCCCATTCCGAGGCCTAGAAGAGCGCGTGGAAATGCAAAGTTGCAAGCCGTTGCGAAGAGAAGAAACACATACCACAACTTCTGGATGTTCGGTCTAGAGTTTGTTTTTATTGATCAGAACAATGACAAGGACACATACGGGGACGGGCGAAAAAGAGGGGGTAAAGGAGGTGGGGAAGAAAATAGAAGGGACATGAACTCAAGGAACACAGTTGAAAATGCAGCAGTGTTAGTTGGCCACGCCGGCGGGAGGCGTCTTGGAGCGGTCGTCGTCCTCCTCCTCCTCTTCGTCCGCATACTCACGGTCCGAGGTCGTGGCGGGCTGGCCGGGAGCGGTCGCGCCGGCGGCTGTCTGTCTGGGTGGATGTGGAGGTCGGAGGCGTGGCGAGGGCTTGACGAATCGTCCCGGGGAACGTGATGATGTTGATGATGATGGCGGGGGAGGCGTCACAGCACCGCATTGGAAGAGCTTGCTCGCGGGAATGGGCTGACCGCACTCCCGACAGTATCGTGGGGAGACGGAACGGTTGGAGGTTGCTGCAGCGATGACGGCCGAAGCAAATGCGCTGCCTGGACCAATGAACGGTCCCGAGGGGTAGTAGGGAGAAGGGCAACCGTCAGATGTAGTGCGGGATCGACCGGGCGAAAATGCGACACGACTTGCGTCGTTGAATTGTCTAAGGAAAAGAAAATAAAAACGAATGTGATTTCATTGCAAATTGAAGTCGGTCAGATGTTGTTGTATGGAGACGTGGCCACCGCAGACTCGCCTTTCATCCTCCATCTCAAGACTTGATTCGCTGCCGCTGAAGGCTCGCGAGAACACGTCCTTGCGATCGATTTCAGTCTGCAGCATACGGCGCAATCTGGCGTTCTCGTCGATCGCTGAGCGCTCCTGTTCGGTGCAAGCGAGCTGATCCGCCTGGTTAGCGGCAACAATAGCGCGCAGTCGAACCACCTCCTCTCGCAGTCTAGCCACATAGGCTGACCCATTGGTCATTCCCTCGAGGTGCAAAGGGGGTCCGACAGACACTCCCGGCTGGAAGCTATTACGATGCGATCGGTTTCCAGGTAAGGAGATTTCAGAACGAGAGAGATGGCCCGCAGAAGCGTTGACATCTGAAAGGGAAAGCGGTGTTGCATAAATCTCGGTAAATCGACTAGGTAATGTGTTAAACACAGACTAATGTAAAGAATCACACCACAATTTTCCTTAACCACAAATCACATGAGGCGTGACAAGGAAGCAAAAAATAAACGTTGGGTTTTTGTTGCCAAACACCGAAGAGCAACTTCCAGTGTGGCCTCAAACCTCGGTCATCGCAGAGGGTTGACGTGAGTTGCAATCGACGTTACCCCTTCGAAACTCAAGTTTGACGTCTAAATTTAGTAGTGCAGGAGACAACAATAGGGGTCTTGATGTTAAACGTAAATAGAATTATCACTGTAACTTGGAAAATAGCTTGGTCAACACGAATGAAGACGCACGTTTACTCCGCGTCTAGAGGAACCATTAGCGTAATGAAAGTGGAAAAGGCAGCTACGCTACTAGATGGCAAAACACGCCAGCAACGCCTTAAAGAGCCCATTATATGAACAATCGGCTGTAGATAAAACAACGAAGTTGCAGGAAGCAATAACAATCACATCTGGCATGCCAGCCACCAGTTAGTCAATTGCGGCGACAGCTGGTGTGGGATCCACATAATTCTCAGCAAGTGGGTAGCAGAGGTTCGACAACGATGACAACGGCAGACAACACAAAATGGGACACTTCTATTGTAAACAATAGACTTGAACAGTAAAAACTGTTTAATTAGACCAAAAACAAACGACTGCAGTAACGGCGCAACCAGAGTGGCCTCGAGCGTTCAATAGTGATCATTCATTCAAATAAGTAATCCTGAGTACTAACTTGTGAGCCAAAAAATTCAATCTATGCCAATTTTAAACTTCAAATTTCAGTTATACTTCACATCAATTAAGCATCTCAGTTGCCTAGGTAATTATATCCAATGTGGTGAATGGATGTGGTGCAAGTAACAGACTAGAAACACGACCAGCATGAAGCCGAGGTCAAACGTGATGTGTCACAAATGCATTAGAGTGTGGAAGTTCGCTTGGAATTTTGTGACACGACCCCGAACCACGCAAACAAAACAATGTTATACCGCGAGGTGGAAACTTGTTCACCTTAACTCAGCGACCAATTGACGCGTACATCGCCTTACGGAAACACCAGTAATGCCTACGAAATAATCGATTCGGTGTGTTGAACATCGCAGAGAAAACTTCTCGGGTTGGAATGGACACGACCAGTGGGTTCCAGTGGTAATCGGCGTGAACACGTCTCAATCACGCACGAACCGATGATGACGAGTTAGTTAGGGCGCGAAAACGACACTAGAACACGTCTTTTGAACAAACATCCAACTGAAAAGTGCTGCACTGAATACATGGAAAGAGTGACGTTGAAAATCATTCCAACGACCCAACATTCTCGTTTCATAAATGGCATTCCGGTAGACTCAACCTCATTCACATCCAATGAGGCTGCATTGAAACGCAGTCCAAAATTTGGTCTGTGGCTGGAAAGCCTGCACGCAAACACGCACATCAGGTAAAACTCGAGATCTGTTTACTTGGTTCGAAGGCCCTACCACAGCGTTGGGTTGAGAGAGGCCCAAAACTGGGAATCGAATGTTTACCAAAAAGGAGCATGTTAAAAAATGTGAGAATAAAAGGGGCGTCCACCCACGAGCGAAAACATTTTCATGTTACAACAAGTTATCTTGTGAGACAAACAGTCGTGGCAGAAAGCGATGCTTTAATTCACGTGGCTAGGCCACGCAAGGAATCAACGTGTAAACTTCATATTGTAACCCAAGTAAGCAGCACGGGCTAGTAAATATTGGTGAAATCATTTTCCTCAAACTGGGGGGACGGAAACCAACAGTTACATAGACGAACAATGTAACCACGGAGATAAACAAATAGGCTTGAAATCGGGACCAAAATTCACCAAAAACACGCAGGAGCTGCTCGAATCGGAACAAAAGTTGAATGAAGATAGTAAAGTGGACCTAAATCCTAGCCAATAGCAATCATAACACGCTCAATAAGAACGAGAGGAGAGGGGTAGAAAGTAGGCCGGTGAAAGAACCAGAGACAGTTGGCGTAATGGGCTAACTGCTGAAGTTTCTTTGTAGCAGGTGCGAAAGCACCTAAGAGAGTGAAACATGTGTGTGCAAATGACTTGACCCCACTAGAGCAGAATGATTCATCACTAGGATAACCAAAGGCGCACCCACGTCACGCACCACACACCGTAAGTGAATGGCAGTGGTCTGAACAACGCCTGCGATTGGCGGTAGTAAAGCGTTGGGCCGCCTTGTTTGAAAAAAAAATTGGATGAGCCATCCAATTGTCGAAACAACCGACAAGCTGCTAGTTGTCTGGAGCAGTGCTGGCACAGCACCAAGTGCACCCCCGACGCATTCACAAATCAAAAGTAAAAGCAGGACAGAGTGACTAATGGAACGGGAGTAGGACAAAGCCAACGTTACTGTCCTGTCACCCGTCAATCGATATGGGGACTAATCTAAAACGCGTACGTCGACAACAACGTCCCCCTTCGCCTAGCCGTCAACACTTTGCGACATGGCCACTTCTGTGCCTTAGATAAAACGACCATTTAGTGAACAACGTAAACACCAAGGCAGGAAAGGAGTGAAACGGCGTTTTAAACAGAGGCTTTGTAGTTAGTAAAAAAGGCGGTTGAGGTGGCTTGTTGAAAGTGTTGCAAACGGCCAAAACAACAAGACTCGGACTGAAAAGTTGGCAGGCGGTGTAGGTTTGTTATGACCGGTGGCTTAAAGGCGACTCACAGCTCAAACGGAACACAAATCTCGAGTGACGACGGCACAACGCGAAGATTACTCGGCACTATTTTAAAACGAAATTTATCCTACACTTGGCGTTTCTGGGTGGGGCAACATTCCATTATAGGTGACAGCTATGAAGGTGTACCAGTGTTTGAAAGCATAGCAACCACTGTTAAAAAAGCATCCACAACTTCTAATTACCAGTAAGTGTGCAGTGGAACGCAAGCCATGGAACAGGCTGGCACAGAGTCGGTGCAATGAGTGAGAAGAGGGGATAGGAAGCACTGAGGCAAGACTTATGTCACAACAACGAGCACTGTCGACACAACACACTGGTACTTAAAAAACGACAGGCGGATATCCATCAAGGGAGCTTTTGCGGAATGTTTTTTTCAAGACACAGAAGGTGGCACATGACCTAGCGCGAGCCCCTCGGTCATAGCGACAACGATGGAACTCTGACAAGGCAATAACCAGGCCCACGTCTACCGCAAAATCGCCATTTCAGGTGGAGAGAAAGCGACAACGAGCTCTTGTGGAATTCTAGAAAAAAAACTTGCATACCACTGATGTCTAAATCCATGGGGCTCGGAGGGGGGCGTGGACTTAGGGAACTGGAGGCGACGGAAGTGGTGAGCGAGTGTCTGCCCCCGGTGTGGCTCGGCGATTGTCCTGCGGCGTCGGACTGGCATCCATTAAAGTCGAAATTGTCGAAGCTAGTGCCCCCGGGCACACCGGCTAGAGGGCCACGTTGGGGATGGTGGGGCTGGTGGGCTTGCTGATAGCCCAGACAAATGGAGGCCGAATGGTGATGGGGCGGCTGATTGGGGCCGCCGGTCGCCACAGAGGCGATGTTCTGGACGCTCGAGCTGCCTGATAATGGAGCACTCGCCGTCTCCAGTTTACTCTTTAAGCAGGATAATAATAAAGACAATGTTTGACTCCACCATGAGAATGTATTCAGGTTAGTTTGATTGTGAGAGTCCACATAGGCGATGTTTTGTACTAGCAGCACAATAAAATTTTCAATAAGGCTGCCAATTTGTCCGACTGGACTTGCGACTTTCAAGTCACAACACACAAATGCACACTTGTTAAAAACATCACCTCCATACGCAGGAGCCATGTTCAGCTCTCGTGTTCTACGAAACCATTATCTAGGAACGTAGTGCAACTCATTCCTATAACGCATGATGTTAATACAAATGGCAAAACGAACGGATTTTCGGAAAACATTTTCGTACCTCGGGAGCGATCGTCCAAGTGCAAAACGATGCCGTCTTCACTGATTGGTAATAAATCAAGCATTTCATTTGCGAAAATTTGTGCAAAATTCAGATGAGTCAAGTGGTTTTTATGCTTTGCGCGGGCAAATCTACAGAAACTAAATCTAAGGTGGTAGAAATGCAATCCTTTTTGCGGCGGTAGGTGTGTGCACCCCTTTGCATTCATGATACGAAGTAATCCAAAATGAATGCACAGTTTAAATATGGGCACCGAAACCCCTTGTCACAAAAAGCTTCCCCATGTCCTTGCAGACATTTTTTGGACATGGGTAAGCGCGTCTACCAAGCACAAAATCCCATTAAAAAAAGAACTTTAAGTCCTATGAGGTCATAGTGGTCACAACAACTCGCAAATTAAATTCTTTTAATAAAAAAACCAAATCTAAAACAATACCTCGCACAAACCTGGGCTAACAAGCGCACCCGTTTATAGCAGTGTGGGAAAAACTCACCTGCAATTGTCGTTTTTCTTCCTCCAGTTTTTCCATCTTTTTCCAAAGTCGGTTTACAAGGGCCTCTTGTTCTTGTTCTAGAGCATTCTCCAACTCGATTTTATCGCGTCTTAATTTGTCAAGAACCCTTTGTTTTCGTTCACTTTCGGATTCAAGCCGCTCAATTCGGCGTTTGAGTTTGTTCACCTGCAATGGAAAGGCAAAGAGGGAGGGAGAGAGTATGAAGAGAGGGACTGCATTTGGGATATTGTAAAACAACTTCAAAATATTGCATAACGATTCACAATAAATAAAGCTATTAAAATGACTATCTTTTGGGATTTTAAAATCGTGAACATTAATGTGAAACGCTCAGATTTCAAAGATGCGACTTTACAACATGCGTAGATGGTAGGAAAGAACCTATTAGTGATAACTAGTTTCCAGTTTTACTTTAGTGCTTAAATCGTTTACCTGGGCTTCTTGTTCTTTAGCAAGAGTCTTTTCCAGTTTCTCTTTGTCCTTTTGTAGCTGCATCAATTTACGATTGAGTTCATTAATAAGTCTCTCTTCTTCTTCCTCAAATTTAACCACGAGTGATTCTTTGTCCTTCTTTAGCTCAGAAATCTGTCTCTGAAGTGTATTGCTTATGTATTCTTCTTCTCGTTCCGCCTGTGCTTGCTTAAAAAAAAAGAAGTAAGGAATCACAAGGCTTACAATGGACACACTGTTTCGACGAAGCTGCTCATTTTTTTCCAGCAAGCTCTTGACTCGAAGATTGAGTTGATCAACTTCTGCTTTGAGCATACGGTTCTGCTGATGTAACAATTCCACTTGTCTCTGCAACTGGTCACACCTTCCCGTATGGCCGTCAATTGAGCTGGCATCAGACTCGAGATCTAACTCCGAAGCACTATCCGCCATCTTTACAGATAGCTGCTTCGATGGAGAAATATAAACCAAAAATGGCAATGAGTAGGTCTGACGCTCAAAGGCAATGTGAAAACTATATTCAGGTAAGTTATCGATTTAGCGCAAATACAAGTATCATGGTGCTTCATATAATATGGACGGTATAACATCTGTGGACGAAACTGTCGAGCAGTAAAAAATACTTCCGCTCGTCCCGAAATTACACGAAAAGACCAAAAAGATTGCAAATAACACGGCTCCAGAACAAATCCTGCACACATATTTCCAGAAATTCGCAGACATTCCCGCAAGTGCTATCGTAATTGTATGCGGAACATAGTAAAAGCCTTAAAATACCATCAGAGATTCTACATCGAATATTACAAGGTTTTTGTTTGAAGAACCTGCATGTTGTCTAATAAAAGTGGAGGGACCAACACTATTAAGAACTTCCGGAGGGGAGGGAAACAACTTCAGAGTTTTCAAAATGTCAATAGCTAGGGCTATACGGTCAGATTAAGTGACTAAAAACCGCAAGCACAATTTCATTTTGCTACGGAATTACTGGTCAAAAATTAGCATTACGCACAAGTTTATGTTCACGTAGAAAGATAAAGAATTATGCAGCACAAAGGAACGTTGTAGGTGACAATAATTAAGAACCAATTTCCATTTGTACACACCTACCGTGAGAAACACCACCACCGCTTAAATCAAGAGAACTTTAAGAAGCGAAAAAAGCAGACAAGAGCGACACAAACGACCAATACTTCTTTTCGAGTTTGCAAAAGTCGTAACGGCCTAGTTAAACAACTTGAACGCAAAAGGAAATATCTTTATTGTTACGCCACCTTACAAATAAAGTAGTCATTTTTAAGGGTTAAGTGGTTTTTTAAATGCAAAACATGACAAAAATGCTCCGATTTAGAATTTACAAAAGAATGTTTTAGTCAGCGTGACGATTCACTAAATTTACTCCGTCAATGCTTCTTGCGAAAGTTTAAAAAATGAACACAGTGTGGACCTATGCACAAGGCGTTTAATTTTTAAACATAAACACTCATAATTCAGCTACTTATTGATTTTGTTAATATTCAATAGTTATTTATTTGTACATGGAAGTTGGATTATATTTTGGAAAACGAGCTAATTTGTCGTGCTTGATAAATTTTTTTTGAATCAAACAATTTGGTCTAATTGACATTACACTTTTTTACGTAAGCTCTACAACTGCTAAATTTATTTAAAGTTTTCAAGTCATCGATTGACGAGTTTAAGTACACTTGATTTTTAATTTAACGTTTACTCTTTTTTGTCGGAAGTCTTTTCCTTGCTGCGTTTCCCAACGAATAACCAAATTACATTTGTATAACTTTTGTAATAGTGGTGGTCTTTTTGGCATGAATACTAATTAAATGACAAATTATGCTGTTACTGTTCCAGTTAAGATTTTCCAGTCTGAGATCGCAATTTTTAGTGACCAGGAGGAAGTTTTTATATTCTTATTTTCTTTATTTTCTAGAGATCTCATGTTATTATGTTAAGCTTTCTTGACATAAAGTCCCTTAAAGGAGATCCTGGCTTGTTTCATTTACGAAACTACACTGGGGAAATTATTGACCTAGTTGTCAGCCACCTAACCGAGAATAATTTTGACGACTTTTCTCCATAGTTTGACATGTAGAGGCTTTTGCAAGACAACAGAGAGAAAATACATATTTTCTGGCGTAGATATATGCTTGGTTTGCACACACAACCTTTGACCAATATTCTTCAAGCCTTGCTTCCGGCGTTCATTTCTTTTAACATTTCTGACGGTTAATTTCCTCTCACTTTCTTTCTCATCAGATAGTCGAAAATTCCTATTGTTTCACAGCTAAAATTATACTGTACTTGATTCTCTAGTATGAAATTATTCTAGTTCGAGCCTTCTTGTAGGAATTTTTACACAAATAAAGAAAGCCACAATGATGAGAATATTTATTCGTGAATAATTCCTCCGAGATAAGTGTTGAAATAAGTATAGACGATACAACTGACATTACCCTTCCACCTACCTCTTAGTTGGATTTACCCAAAGGTTTGAGCAAGCCTGATCAATCCGTTGCGGTTTCGGATTAAGGGAAACTTCAGCCTTTATAATGTCAATTTTATGATCGAGTTAAACAATACTGACCAATTATACACGTGCCCTGCAGTTAACCGAATAACCTCAATGGTATTTGCTAAGATTCTACGGACCTTGATGATTTTATTTGACTGTGAGTACTAATGAAATCCAAAAGGCGGGACTCTTGTACCTTTGAAGCAGTACCTTCAAAACACACAAAGAATTCAAATTGGCTGTTCAGTAGCCGGTGCCCCGCCACATTGATTTCAAAACTACTATAGAACAACAAAACATCGCTTAATCCTCGTCCTCCTCTTCCTCTCCTTCTTCTTCACCCTCCACTTCTTCCGCAGCCCGTGCCAGACGCCTAGCCTCCTTTCGAAGACGCTCTTCTTCCTCCTGTTGCACTGTTGGGTCCACAGTCTCCTTCAGACCCACCGCCTCGTCGTCAAATTGCTGTGAGGTTGGTGGCAGTCTCGGAGGCTGGTAGTTGGCACCCAGGAATTTGATACCCCAGCCAACGTAAATGTTAACAAATATTCTAAAAACGGAAATAAAGCGTGTCACGTTGACGGATTTCGACGTGATGAGTCACGAAATGTCTCAGATATTATTCAAGGTGCAAAAACTGTACCGTCAAGCGTCGACAGTAGCCATGTCTCTGCCAGTAGGCTGAATCGTTTGATTTGCCTAACACAAACTAAAAAGTACTTACAAACCCTCATCTCGTCATGCGTTTGTCGCGAAACCTGAAGATAGATTCGCGACTCTAGACGGTCTAGCATTTTTCTATCAATTGATCTTGCTCCAAAATCTAAATCTGTGAATTGCCTATGATAAGTCACCGAACTTCCTACTGGTTGTTTTCAATACTTGTTGTAGCGCAGAATCAAGCAACCTATGATGACCAAATGAACTAGTTCGCTTAGTATCCTGACACACTCAATTCCAGCTCCGGCCAAGGAGGTCGGTCAAGATGCAGCGATGGCGGGGTGGGGTGGGGTGAGGCACTGAAACCAATTGGAAGACAGCATTTAAAACCTACTCCTTTCGTGCCATCGCATATGCGCCAGGCCATTGGCTGTTGCTGAGCACTGCAATTGCGCAGTTTACAGGCAGGAGGACTGTGGACGGGCGAGCATTCCAGACGGGGCCCAGGGGGTTGGGGATGGCATTCTGCAGTGATTGGCTGACATCGCCGAGGGGTTTGGTGGGGGCATCCTCGTCCAGGGGTGCCAGGAGGTCTGGGCCCTCCTCCTCCTCGTCTTCTTCCTCCTCCTCCCCCTCTTCTTCCATTTCTTCTTCGTCGTCTTCGGCACCAACTAAGTATTTTGCATTAAACAAGCGATTAAGAACAACCAGTTCCCGTGTCTCTTCGTGAAATAATGGAACCAAATTCGATTAGTTAATAGGTAAATAAGTCTGATTCCGGCGACTTCCTGATTACTAGTTTCGATTATTTAAACGTACTTTCGTCCTGTAATTTATGTCAAGGAAATCTTGAGCAAGTAATCAGCACAGTTTGATCCGTTGATAAACCTAACAAGTACTTCGCTTGAATGCATATAATCGGCTTTTTTTGTACTCAGGCGTTTATGTGGCTAGAAAGGTCGCGACAGGGATTTGAGGTTCCTTGAGTCTCTACCTACACCAAACCTACAAGGGTTACGCATTAATGGAAGCATGTTTGATTAAAGAATGGATATATCGACCTAGTGCAGACGAAAGACGACAAATAGAGTTGTGGTGATAAAAAAATGTCGGTCTCACCGTCCTCAGCATCTTCCTCCTCAGCCATAAGAGCCTTTATGGCAGCAGCCGCTTTCTTGGTGTTCATCCAATTAATTCGACCTATCGAGAACAGGTATGGCCTATGGTGAACCCAGTTAGACAGATCCAATAAGTCTGAAAATTCCATTGGCTCGTACTCTTCGGCCATCATTAGCGTTTCTGGCTTCTCCTACAAACCCAAGTCGTCAAATATAAATGCAGTTTGGGCTACAGTTGAGAGAAGGCGAATGCTACATACAAATCACCGCAACGAATTCTTTCGGTCAATCAAGTTAGATATTACAAATCTCACATGAAGTACGGAATATCGACTCGATCTAGCTTGCATCCTTTCACGTTGAATTCATGAAAAATTAGCTTTTAGCTAATTTAATAATAGGCTACTATTTTCGAAAACAGCGATAAGTGGTTACTATGTTTGACACAGGAGGTCCAATAAGGCGCGAAGAGAGGCAAAAATCCAGTTTCTGACCTTCCTGAAATAAGTCAGTGGTAACAACTTGAACGAGTCCGTTATATATCTTTTAGAATCATGTATGATATTGGGTGTTGATGGGTTAGCCGTTCTTCACTTTTTAACACGGGAGAACATTCCAGTTTCAGCTCCTAGGCTGACATCTTTCCAAAAGGATTTCAGACGAGTGTTTCTAATGAGTCGCCATTGTACATGTTCTTCATCTCCGTCAACGTATGTCCAGATACCACGGTAAACCAACCCTTTACGACGCACTGGGTGTCTGGTGAGACAGACCCCACTGCTAGTGTCCCCATTAGTTACGATGACACGTCTGAACACGTCGTCTGCGCATATCCCATCATGTAAGTGCGATTTGTATTCATACACGATCCTGTGTGAACACGAACACCGCACCACCCAACAGAATTGGGTTGGTCCTCTACGTCATCAACTATAAATGATAGCTGAGCCTCAGTGTGGGATAGAGAGCCTCTTTAATTGTTGATTTCACCGCAATACCATGCTCAAGCACACTTTTTCCTAAACACTGATTATATTGTGCATTAGTGTTGAGTCACCGAATTAAACTTCGCGTCTCCGTTGGCTATGTTTACCTTAGCAGGGTCTCAACAAGCAGGCGGTTCAGGTGGGCGTTAGAAACACTCACCGGAAGACTTCTACAGCTGGTGACCCGACGTGATCACTCGGCTTAACCTGGTACTGCAACATGCTCATTAGTCGTTGTTAGTAGGAGTGTACCCGGACAATAATTATCAATAATTTCAATGCCAAGAGCATAGCCCATGTAGCTGATGTTCCACCACCAACAAGCAGCAGGGACTGGATGATGTCAACTAAGACATATTCGTTTCTTAGAGGTCCAGCATCCCCGAGGCTATAACTTTCAACATATCCACACTTTTTCATTTGTCATTAACACTCGTGTTTATGCACACCAACTTTCATAATCACGTTTCCCACGTCCTGCCTACTGGCTCATTCACGTCTGAGTGTCCTAATTCTCTCATCCGCCCTCAAGATCGTCCACGCCATATCCAAGTGAGGGCGTGAAAGGTCTTATGTTTGTGGCAGTGAGGAGGCGGTGACTCATGCGTATTCAGTCGGAGTGCTAGCGTGGGGCGCTAACGAGGGAAGCTATTATTTTGCACTCTGGGTTTTGCGTCCGTGTGGCGGGAACCGTAGCACGGTCTAATGCGGTCTGAAGCAAGCAGACGTCAACTCACGCCTTCTTCCGGTTCATCGTCTTCGTCTAACTCAAATATGCCTGACGGCGAGACGTGGCACGCCGAGGTGATTCTGGCGATCTGCGCCCGCAAGTAGTGCACCTCGAGGCCAGGAAAGGGGCCCAGTCCGCCAGGCAAGTGGCCCACCGGGGCGTTGAGGTCGCCGGTAAAGAGGTACACGGACTGGCGAGCCGCGACAATGTGCTCGGGCTTCACGATTGGCAGTCTCACCCAGGTGCCCTCTCCGAGGTTCGTGGAGACGTAGTAGTCCCACCTGTTCATGCCGCGGCCTCGTGGTTCTCGCGGGTACAGTGTGGGTGGTTTATACTTGTTTTTGGGCAAATTGATCAAAACTCGCTTCTCTACTGGCAACTTCGCCACTGCCTCCTCGTCCAGCAACGTTACTGAGAAAGAACGTTTTAGGAGAAAACAAGGTGCTGAACCCCGAAGCCACAATTACATTGAAAAACTCCTACTGGTGAAGTATTTACTATTTAAGTTTTCTACAGTGAACCCTATCAGGTCTTCCAGCAGTACGCCTCTAATTTGGAAACTATAGACAAAGTACAGAGGTCTATAAGACAGTTACAGTAGTAAGCTGAAATCATGATCTTGACCTGATTAGAATAGCAATTGATGTTTACTAGCACAAAATCAGAACAATTCATGTAAATGAAAAAAAAAACTTTTTTTTGCCTTGGTTAGCATTCACTATTGTTTGGTGTTAAATTGCTGACTCCCTATTAGCGTTGGAGATATAAACGCGTCTTTTGCTTCCAGGTGAGTTAATAAATAAACCCTGGTTTCTGTTGGTTGTCATGGTTACAAAGTGTAAACACCAAAGGCCAGGACTTGGTCTAACCAGCTGATGACCCACCTGAGATCACGGTGCGAGTCCCACAAAGTAGCTATGACCCCAAAACCAGTTCAGTGCTTTAACTTAATGGTAAAAACACTAGCAATAAGGTCGAACACAAGTGCAGCTATGGTGACAGCTCGTTGCAGATAGAGCGCCATGCAAAATGGCTTCTTAAAAGCCCCTTTTATTCAAGAAGTGAAAATTTCGAGGACCCAACGCAAGTGAAGGTCATATAATTTAAAGCCGAGTAGCTGGAGAACCACGCAGAGTCATAGAAAGCACTGCGAGGATGCGCAATGGGAAAGCTTACGCTGAAATTCCTCCTTGTCCTGTTCGCGAACCGTAGCGGGGGGTTTCGGTGGTCGCCACTTATCCCAAGGACCAGGAATTTTCTCGCTCGGATCCGATTCTGGTTCGAATTCGGCCTCAACAATGTAGTAGTTTGCCTTTTTGCCGTAGATTTTGCCCCAGAAACGAAGCTTTGTGATATCCTCGAGTTGTTTATAAAGGAAGCGCAGGGCAAGCCAAATTCGAGTCAATTCTACCCTTCCGAGACCTTAGTGGAGAAATAATCGCACACCCTTCATTACGTCAAGCTGCAAATTGGTGATTGGACGCACACAACCCCCCTACCTATTCCTGACTGTTCAAGAAGCACGAGTTGCTGACAGAGATTCGGGAGGGCTTCTGTCTCCTCTTCATCTTCCTCAAAGTTTCCACCAAAGCTTGCAGGAAGAGGCAGATCAACGAGCGGCGGTTTATTCCAGACGTGGTCAGGATGCTACAATACAGGCCTCTGCACTTAGATACATCTACACGCATAGCTACGAGCACCATTGAGCTTTCAACCTACAATTAGGAGGGATCTTTCGTGCGTTGCGAAGGTGACCTCGGGCGGTTTCGGTTCCTCTGTGCGCGCGATGGCATCCTCTCGGGCCTCTGTAAACCCAGCCTCTAGGTATTCACCGCCGATGCCTTTCTCGCGTTTGACAAGGCGACTGAGTACCTCGAATTGGTCCAGAGCCTGAGACGGCTGGTACTCCAGAATGTACTTTATCAGATTCACCAAGTGCTCGTAGAGCGAGGTAGTGCGACTGTCGGTTTCGAGTCCTTCGTGCTTCTTAATCCCGCCGTGGTGAATGGATTGAAGCATCGCTTTGGCCTTCGCGAACTCCTGTTCTGGCGGCTCTTCAGGACCAAGGTCACAGAAGCCTCCGGTGATGGCATTGGGAGTACTAACACGTGTTTTAAAGTCCGTTAATTTAAAAACAGCAATGGTAGCCGTCTTAAATCCCAACCGGCAACTTGCCCACTCACGCCGCATGCTCCTACACATCGCCCCCCTTTTCACCGTGTCCACACACCCATCATTACTCCTTTCACTGGTGTAGCCACTCAGGCCCTGGTGTGGTTCAAGACCACATACCGAGGCCTTAAACAGTACCCCCAAATTATGTTGAAGCCTGTGATTCCGGCATAAAATACGCACACATAAATGATTTTTGAAGTAAGGTCTCCAATTAGGCATGAGGCGATCACTGGCTTCTTTACCTTTCTGCACCAATTTATAGTTGTTAGCTAATTCGATTAGGCTAACTGATTCTCTATTAACCTCCGGTATTCACGTTGACTTACGAAACTGAATTTTGCAAAAAGGGGGCCATTTGGCTCAATATTGGACCATTTTGTTAAAAGTTTAACCTGCTTATTATTTTTGCACCAAATCCTTAGAGAATTTACCAGTCAGACCCGTTTTGAGTTTTGCTAAACCACTAAGAAATTTCCCTCGCAAATGTTGCCTCTGTAATGTTCCAAAATAACTGCTTGGTTTTGTACAAAAAAATGCACTTGTGCTACTAGGGTGCATAGTGTATCCTGTCTTGGTAATATTGCATAAATGCGAATACAGAAACTTGTAACTGCGTGATGCTGCGGTATAAAGCACACATATTGCCCCGTGCTTCTAATTACGGGCACTTTTAATAAATTAGAATGACCTGCTAGACATGAAAGCAAGAAGTTAAAAGAGCACGCTTACATGGATAGCGCCTCTGACATCTCGCGTGACTAACCAGGGGGTGGTTTATCGATCGACAGATTTTGTACTTGCGCGCCCTACACAACCAGTCACCTGATTGGGTCAAGACCAGATCAAGCCACAATAACACTCCCACTGAGGCCACTTTTAACATGCCAGATTTTCACTCAACCTCGGCTAGATTACAAATTTTGATAGCAGCCGAATTCTCACGATACCTATTTGAAGGGTGTTGATCTAAGGTAGTTGAAGGCTCAACAGTGAGGAAATAATTAAAAGTAGATTCAGGACACAATGAGGCCGACTCAAGCACATATTTATCAACAAAGCTTGCTTGTGTGGCAAGGTGGTCAGTATACAAACAAAACTGTAATGTGTGGCCGGAAGTCAAATTGCCATCCATGGCTAGTAAGACATCGCAAATTTTCTTACACGCGTCCCATTAAAAAGTGCCGGTCGCCAATGCAATGTGATTTTCCTTCACACTTGTCTTACTCATGAAAAGTATCAGTAACCATGTCCATTCCTTAATCTACGATTACGCACGACTAAGGTGTCGCCTTTGCGGCACTAAGTAACGGATTTGTTCCCTCAAGACCAAGAGGAACAACTGAAGGCTTTGAGTCCTAGATCACAAAGGCGTCCGCTTGATGAGTGAGGTTACCAAGTTTGACATCCAGTCACCGTGTTGTTCATTTGATTTCTAAAAAAACCCGGGAAATAAGCTCCAGTTAATTCTTCCTGCCCCGTCATCGGCCTTGCCCCATCCATATCATCTCTGGTTGTCCACACCTGCGTACTAGAAAACTAACGACTAGAAAAGGTGTCTTTATAACAGAATTTTCGCAAAGCGTCTCATGCACCGAAGGTACAGATATCGTATATTCGATTAGGCTGAGGTTTGAAAATGAGGTAAAAGGGTGAGAGGGAGAGAGAGCAGAAAATCTGAAGGTGTGGAGACGGGACCCGCCTCAAGATTAATCATAACGTGACAGTCGTCTTTTGAGAGGAGCTGGAAAGGAGCGCTGTGTTGGCCACAAGCCAGTGTATTTACATGAGTGTGAAGAGTAGGGGGAGGAGGAGGCAACTGTACATAAGTGGGAAGGGCGGGGGTGGGTGGGAGAACGACTTGCGCCACCCCACCAGCTCACATCGCACGAGTCGTGTCGGCTGAGCAGATAGGTGTGACAGGGAGGAGGACAAACTTGGTGCTTGTGCTGTTTGCGCCCGTCGTGATTGGACGCGGACCTAGGCTGAAATTGGCCGAGTGGCAACTGGCATCGGGCACGTTGCCAGCCAGCTCCAGTGGACTGCTCTCCAGCGTCACCATGACTGGCATGGGAACAGAGGAGATGCGCTGGGAGGCGGGTCTTTCGGTGGATACGTCAGTGGAGTTGGTTTTACCCGAATCCCCCGAATGGCTACACGTATTATTGCCGGTGTTCTCCGCGCCCCCTGAAGGCGGGAAGATGTTTGTGACCACAGGACTCTTTTCTCCGCCGGTTGCATCATTTACAAGCAGTTCCTGTTGCCACGACGACAGTCTCGAGAGTATTTCCTGGAAGGACGGGCGTTTGACGCCCACCTCGTTCCAACAGTCAAGCATCAAGGTGTAAACTCGAGGTGGGCAGTTGTGGGGGCAGGGAAGGAGGTAGCGTGACTGCACCAAGTCGATTACCTCAGCGTCCGAGTAAAGGTGGTACGGACGCATTCCGTCCGCCCAGATCTCCCACAGCAGCACGCCAAACGCCCACACGTCGGACTCCACACTGAAGAGACTATAGAGTATCGCGTCGATCGGCATCCAACGAATCGGCAAAAGGAGGTTATTTGCAGCAGGCACACGGTAGTAATCCATGGCATAGGAGTCACGCGCTAGTCCGAGATCGGTGATTTTACACAACAGATGCTCGCCCACAGTGACATTACGGGCAGCCAAATCCCGATGGATGAAGTGGTTTCTCGAGAGATATTCCATGCCAGAGGCGATCTGAAAGGCAATGTGGAAGCGGTCGTTTTCGCTGAGTTGTTGATGCCGTGGCCACGTCTGTGAGACACACGCGGCTGCCAACCATCCGCCCTCATCCGACGAACGCCGGGCTGCCAGAAGGACTTCGTGGAGGTCTCCATAGAGTGGGGTCTCGAAGAGCATGCACCACGGTGGCTGTTGCAAGCTAACACCAAATATCCCCAGGAGGTTAGGATGGTTCAACTCCGCCATGATGCTTGCCTCTCGACGAAAATCGGTTTGCATGGAAGCTGGAGCTCCTGGCGACAGCGTTTTTATTACCAACGCGGTTGGTTTGCTGTTCTCATAATCGCTAGAGGCTTGCAGCTCCCCTGCGTAAACAGGTCCAAACACGCCCTGCCCGATCCGGTCACCAAATCTAAATGGTGCGTCAAGTTTAGCTACTGTATCAAATTAAGTACCAAATATTAAATAAACTAGCTTACTTAATTTGCACGATTGGGTAGTTGATAGCCCGCAGCGTGCGGTCGACCAGCTCAGGAGAAAACGAGTTGTGCTCTAGTTGCTGGGATACCTCAGCTCGCTGGTTGAGGAGGGCGCTGTTCCCCATGAAAAAGTGCTTCCCGCCTCCATCCATTTCACGATCGACAGGGGCAGCAAGCACTTGGGTAAACGCCCGGTGATTGGCTAGATCGACGGGGGAGTATGTTGAGGGTGGGGGCGGAGCCGGCGAACTGGGTGGAGGCACAACGAGAACACTTTTGGGCGCCTGATACTGATGGTACTGTTGCTGCTGCTGCTGTTGGTTTTGTGTGACCCTTCGTTCGGGGTTGGGGGAGGTGGTTGAGGGAAAGGTTTTGGCGACAAATGGTGTGGTCTCAGGATACCCACCGATCTCGGCGATTGGCTGCTTCATTTCGACTGCGTTCTGGGCGTGGAAATGCCGACTTTGCTGCTTCTTCCCAATCACCACAGCCTTGCCGCAAAAGCACCGCATCGCTCGCGATCGTCCGCTGAAGACGTCGTTCGAGTAGCCGCCTTGGGAGCGACGACAGACGAAGCAAATGAGAATGAGCGTGAGCGCGAGGAGGATGAGGACGCCGAATGACACGAACACAGGAAGCAGGTCCGGTGACTGGGTTAGCTGACTCCGGGGCACCCCATTATTGGGTGTGTGCTTCGGTTTGGCAATTAAGTCTAAAAGAAACAGCGTGTTGGATGATCCGGACAGGGTGGAGTTACTGCATGAAACCAACTGATTAACTACCTGTTAGGTCGGGAACAGGCGGCCGAAATCCTGTCCGAAGACACGCGTCCGGGTTGTAGGGACTGAATTCTGGAAGGGCACCGCACTCCATGCTGAGCATCGGTGTGGAACCTGTAGAGGGAAAGGCGGAAGAAACAAAAGCAAGGCGATCAGCTACGTTTGACTGTAACTGTCTGTCCTGCAGCACGTCGAGCACTGAATTTGTGCCCCCTCGCCTTCGCCCCCGCCTCCCCTAACAAAACAAAGACCGATAACCCAGTTTCCGGACACAACGACTCCGGTCTATGCGACACCCGAGTGAAGGCAAGGCTTGGGAAATAATTGGCACACAAACCCTGATGTGACCCAGTCACTCCCATCTGTTCGAACTGCGCAGTCCTGAAGTGGGGCGTGCAGGTCGAACCCACCAATTCCGGCCAATCAGCAAAGCATACCTGACGAACTTGAGCCAATTAAGGCCTCTTTGTATTACAGAAAGTCAACTATATGTGAAGAGTGCCCCGCATGGCAGCATAAAGGAGAGAACTGGCAGTCAGCTTTGGTTCCGTGGCCAGGTCAAACACCGAAAAACCGGGGGGATCAGGCACTCCCATTGCTAGTTGCAGATGGAGGCACATTTCCCAATCTCCGGAAAGTAGAGCATGCCAGTGGTCTGGAAAGGGCAGACTCATCTGCATGAGGGTGGGCTATATCGTAGAGCACATGCTAACTGTTCCTACGGTCTATCGCTCGACACAGGCGCTGGCTTTGTGCTGAGGGTGTCAGTATTTACTAGATTTGCTCCACACTAGATGATGACAGAAATGCTCCATTTTGCGACTCGTGTTAGCATCGCAGAGCAGTTCGTCTTAGGCTTCAGTAAAGCAGTCAACAGAAAACGCACGAAGGCAGTGGGATTCGTGCTCCACTTTGTCATCAAGTGGCCTTGTTCATCCATATTCATTGTGGACAAGTACTGATTGAGACCATTTAAAAGGGCATTTTGGACGTTCATCGTCGAGTGTGCTTTTTTACTCGGACCACCGCTCAAGGCCGCTGAGACAGTAAAAACCCCCTACACGAGGGTCTTGTCTTGTCCCACTAGGGAGGCGCTGACTCACGCGTGCTTTGTCTAGGCGCGAGTGCGGAGAACGTCGTTGACAGGCCAAACATGGGGAATCAACTGTTTACGCTCATACGTGCACCGGTAGACCGCAACAGTACTTTCAAGCACTATAAGTAGTAGTTACCCCAACAGTGGCGCAATCGTTGATATTTTAAAACCAATTTTGAAACACCTTACCTTGTGCGTTGCTTTTATTCGCAAATTGAAGTGAATCAGCAGCATGTAACCCTTCGATGTGCTCAGATAATGGAGTCAATGTGGGTGTCTGGAGTTAAGTTAGAGCAAATTGCTCCTAGTTGCCCAAATCTCTATGCAACCAAATCTACTTCAAAGAATCGCTTCTCGAAGTCAAAAAAAATTTCCGTCATTTGAAGGTGAAACGATGTGCAAAACTAAGCCGCTTTGTCCACCACACAGTCGCATCTGACCGACTTTTGTCCGCCAGTCTCGGATCGTTGTGGATCACAAGCGTCAGGGGTATTTTTGACGCTAGTAAAGTGAATCGGAAATGCGTAAGACTTAGGCAACACACCAATCAGCTTCTAGGAGCGAAAGAGCAGCTTTTAGTTAATCAAAGAATTCACCAGAGCAGAGCTAAGTTTACTAGGAGAATGACTACTATTTTGGATTCAAATCGCTGCCCTGAACTGACGAATCCAAATGTTATAACATGGGTAAAAAAGAGTAGACGACTGGAGGCATTATATGGAGGCAATTCCTTACTTTGAGGTTGGGTGTCGTGAAGTAGACGATTGTAGGTTTCGTTGCATTCGCCCTCAGTTATCAGGTGGCAGTCGTCGCGACAAAGACGTCGTCTAGCGACCACCTCTGAGGCCGCGCTGCTCTTGGAGGTCGCGGCGTCTCCGATGCGTCCAACTTCTCCAGGCGGCGGACAGATGGGGAAGTAGTAGTAGCAGATCGCCTCCATGATTCGACCTAGGCACTCCGTATCCTCTGGACTCCATTGTCGATTAGTTGCCGCACCGATGTCTGAATAGGGAATAGCAGAAGTTGGTAGGCCACGAGGTAGAATGATACAGAACTGACCGAAATCAGAATGAACAAAAACCAGATGTTGAAAGAGAAATTATACTTAGTTTCCGGAGTCTCATTTCTGGCTCAAACAGGAATTACCAGATGATTGACGGGTGACATCCCTTCAAAAATGCTGACAGCACCAAAACACACACATCATCCAAAAATACTTTGGGAATTTGATGATTTAAAAAAAAGAAGCAGCGGATTTTCCAACGCCAAGGAACCAAAATTAGGCGCCCTTGTACACGGTTTGCTTGGCTCCCACATTTTACCCCAAATTGTGCAGATCACGCACGCGTTTTCCTCCCATGAACGACAAATATAACAGAAGAAAGTTTCACCCAACCGGCCCACTAAACCACGAGCCGAACTTGTGACTCCTTTTTGACCCAGTCGCCGGAGGATCATAATTTCGTATTTGAAAGCATGTTAGACTGGCGTGGAGTTAGCGGTACTTCTAGGCTGTTTTGCGTGGTTGTTTTTTTCTTACTGTGGGTAGTCAGGAGCTCAACATCCTGTCGGCCGTAGGCGGCGAAGTCGATCTGCCACAACGACTGAGTAAATTCACACGGACTTCGGACGGACATAAAGCAAATCATACGCCAAAGGAATGTTTCCCCACTGATTTGCGAATTGATGTGTGTAAACCGGACGATTGGATGAATCCGTGAGGTTGGCAGATCTTACACTAGCATCCCCAAATTACGGACACCCCTAGGCGCTGAATGACTCACTCCGGCCGAAGACGTCAACACACCCAGGCGCAGAAGGTTTCGACGGGCAACCGTTTGTGCCGTAATCGTCCTCGACCAGTCCACATGACAGAAATCAGAAATGTCATTTAGATCTAACACGAAACACAGGTTGATCGTAGGCGGGAAGAGAACTGTCCCTTCTTGGTTGTGCTCGCGTCTTCTAACCAGTCAAAACGCATCGGTGACTTGTCTAATTAAGACTGGAATTTCTCCATTAAAAAATGCGATTTAGGTGAGTGTGCATGGTACCTCAAGCGGAAACTGTACTGTGGATAACTTCACGGTCTGTTAAATGTGCGAATTTTCAACGGAAGCCTGTGTGTTAGCCCATTCAGTGAGTAATACGCGGAAATGTCTAGCACTTTCGAATTGGGCTAGAACGATGCCTCCCCCAGCGCTGCTTAAAGATGGCGGTGATTTACACGGTTCCAGTGAAATTTCGACTGTGAAAGGGGGCTCCGCCTATCCAGGCGTCGTCTTGATTCACCTACCGGGCATTAATCATAGCAGGCCACCAACGGAGCTAGACGACGTTCGGTAGGCCCTAGCAACCAAGCCTACAATTTACCTAAATCATACACCCGTCAAATTAAGAGCAATCAGCATCTACGCCGTCTGGACAGCGTGGCACGCCTGCACCGTTATAAATTAGGTAAGAGAGAAGCCGTTCGAGTGGCCTGGAGCAATTCCTCGATGAGTGCTTGACTAACGTCTTGTCTTAGACATTGTCTAATTTCACGCGTTGGTACGCACCGATGCAAATTGCTTCGCTTCATCCGCAGCAGTACACATACGCTCTGTTAGACTGGCAAATTAGATGGCGTTTTCGAATCCGACTCCACTTCAAGCCTCTAGACATTTTCTGTCGCCTGTGACGTAAAACTTTTACACCGTAGTTACCGTGGCAACACTACACGGACACGTCCCCCGTTGGTGTCTGGTGGTCTCACATTCACCGTCTTGACCACACACACCTAGGGGCCAGGGGTAAACGAAACACTGGGCGGTGGACTTCGGTTCTTGACCCTTTCTTTATCCATTTAACACCGGTTGGGTAAGGGATTTTGTCGCCAGGGTAAGGAGTAGTAAAGTGGTAACCGCGTTTCAAACTAGGCGAGAATAATCTTGCCACGAATTGTGTAATTTGTCTGCAGAGTGGATCAGGAGTCAGCGAACTCAATGCAATGTGTGAGTGCAAAACGCAAAAGATCACATCGTCTGCAGGACCAACAACGCCAACTTTGCGTTAGTCGCTCGTGACAACAGTCGGCAACACATCTGTCCAACGCCAGATGGTAATGGCAGACCCCTACAGACAACAATAGGTCGTGGAAATCAACCACTATGCCAACTTCTTCGCGACAGTGCTCGACTACCCTTAGTGCTGATATCCCCAGATACAAATCGATCTCTCGCAGTGACATCTTGCCCAAAGTGTCCTCCACAGGGCAAAGCGACTCCCACAAAATACGAACCTCGCGCGATATGGACCCACAAGCATTTTACAGACTAAATCCTGGCCCGGCGTAGCAGGGGTCAAGTGTGAGTCGTCACCTAAATTTGGGTCCCCCTGTCCATTCAGTTCATCGAAGAATACATGCGTGAAGATGACGAAAGGCCATAGGTGGTGACGGAGAAATGCACATTATTTTAAAATCCAAATTCAGCACCGAGTAAAACTTAGGCATTGCGAAATTAAGTTGTAAGGAGAGCATTTGATTGCGTACTTTAAACTATTCACCGACCTTTTTGAGTGTGTTAAATCACTGTCACGGAGCTAGTTTGAGGAAAAAAAACGTGGTCATCCAAACACAAAACGGCGTGACACTCGATGATTTGATTGGACGGCTAGTCCGGACCAAACAAATCCACGTAATTTAACACGAAGTCATGACTTTGGGAGGAAGGAAATTGAGTTGCACTAAAATTAACACGGCGTTCTTACAGTCGGCAATTTGTTTTTCGATCAGGGTCTGATGGAGGACATTCGACACGAAGACTCGATGGCCGGACAAGTATCTGACACACACGTTGCTCTGGAAGATTTGGCAGAATCCATTCTCCGGTTGCTTTTCACTAAACACAAAGTAAAGTGACTTGATGGGTTCAAATTCCAGAGTGTTATGGTCGTAGGAGAATATAGCTGGCAAAGCCTGAAGATTAATCTAGTTATTTTATTTTATTGGCATTCGTAAAAATGACAATTTCTTTGCGGAATAGCTGGACTCAACAACAACGGCCTTCGACCTCAAACTACGCTGGCAGCTGATTTGCGGCCAAACTTCATATTTCGGTGTTTTCTTGTACCTGACCAGTTCGAGACTAACAAAATTGATGCTTTCTTTTTGTGTGCATCGAAAATGTGGTACTATTGAAATAAGACAGGCAGTGAAATAGCAATTTCCCTTAATTCAATAAAAAGACCCCACATTCTTTCCAAATTCATTTGGAAAGAATGTGGAAATATTGACTTCACTGACTCATCAGGTGGCTTAACCTTGGGAGTAAAGTAAGTCTTAGCCACTAACTCGACATTTTAGTCTGGAAATCCTTATTTTCTTGTGGCTTGCAAGGTGGCCATGTTAGAGGTCGACACTCGCGCTACGGAGCTCGCTCCCATACCGTTAGCATCGAAGAATATTCAGTCGACCCAAGAGATGAAGTACAGAAATTAAGTCATTTGGGGCTGATTGATGATACAGATGTTTAAGAGTTAAAAATTCGAAAAAGCGCGGGCAGCAACTTACGGGTACACACTCTTGGAAGGCCAAGTAGGCGAAGGGGACAGAGGAGCTGAAGCGGAAAAAGCGCATTGGAATGACAACAAGATGAGGAAGCTATCACGTAGACCGGTTGTAATGTAAGATGGCATGGCAACAGTGGAGATCACACGCATAAAAACAGCCACCGAACGAACCAAGTACGCGTAGACAACCAGTGACACCAATATGGACTCATCAGGTACCCGTGCAACAGTTAAACCCGAAAGCAAATGTTCACTTATTGTGTTAAGTGGAAAAACAACTTTGCGTAATGTGGTAGTTGAACCAGTCGTTATACGAGGGAAGTGCATTGATTCGAATACGTTTTCTCCCGATGCCACAAGGGGGTGATGGTGTTTAAGGTCTGTGGAGGGGACACTAGCCAAGGCGTACGAGAGACCTACATTGTTGTTGCTTGGGCAGAAACCACGCCGTCGTTGTGCGCTCTCCTGCGGCGTTCTTGGCGACGCACGTGTACGGCCCGAAGTCCTCCGGCACGGGGTTATTGATGCGTAGCCTACAGAAAGAGCGCAAACATGTTTCCAAGGTAGGAAGGGGAGTCTGGCACTCAAGTTCGCGTTGCTGAAGCCTACTGAACATAATTACCTCCCTGAGGTACGCCAAAACCCACAGATTTAAATAGCTTGTCACAGGAAAAAAAGTTCAAGAAGACATCCGGGATCGCATGAAGACACACGTACATCTTCTCTACATATCGGCACATTTTCAGATCGTTATAGCATTTATCTATCTTGTAGCACCCACATTTGTACACAGTTTAACGCATTTTTTATGTCTGGCAAAATCCACGGTATCGTAGTAACAATGGCAGTCACGCCGTATCCCAGTTGACTTACTGCTGCACATGACCTTCTTGTGGATTTGAATCGAACATGAGTTGACCTCTGGGGGACGAGGTTATGGGATCAGATCTGTCCACTCTGCAGTAAGTCGTGCTAGGGACACGAGAACTGTGTTAATCGCTCAACTCATCTGACTACAGCGCATACGAACATTCACACGTCCTCCGCTTTAATCTCAACCTGGCTGGGATAGTGAAGCTCTCCGCACCGGGTCGTGTCTTTTGTCCTGTTCTTGGAGGCCTTTAACACGCTAAACAAGGTGTTTCAATTACTTGCAGTGGTGGACTTGCACCTACGTGCCGGGTATAACATGAGAACGGTCTGATCTCTTCAGTAGGTCCTGTTAAGGACATACGAACGGCATTCTATCACCCGATCTTCAATCCACGATATTTGTAGTCGTATCATTCGACACTTGAGGTTTACGCGATCGTGAGGTGGCTGTGCTTTGCCAATAAGCTGTCTACTACACGAAGTTGTGTGGCGAGACGCAGAAAAACCGAAATTCGGACTACCGCCTCAAAACCACAAATGGAGTACACTCAGGTTAACAATTGCCACCACAGAGCTGTCACGAGCTGTCTACCGATGCATCCATCTCTTCCAGGAGAGTGCACGAAGGTGGTGGATATAAATCACGACCACAGATGAGTGAAACCAGTGAACTTGGAGAGCGGACAGCCTGCTGCTGGTACCCTAGCTCATCCGGTTCCGACGAATCCCCTCGTGACACAAAAGGTGACCCGTTGTGTCGGGGAGACCAGCATCCCAGCAAATTGCACGTCTCGCTTGGAGAGCTGACCTTGCGACTAAACTAGCCCTCTTGAGAATTCGATGTGACCTTGATGTGAGGGATACAAGATTAGATCATTCCTAGGTGCTTAAGAGTCAGAGTTAGAACGCATTTTCCCTCATCGATGATGACAGGACAATGGCGCACAAAACAGTTGTGCAAGAATTTCGGCCGACGAAATTGTCGAATGGACAAAATTAACTCTCGTGGTACTATATCCAAAGACATTAAACCACTCAGTCTACCAATAGTTCAAGGTACGGAGCAACGTGGGCGTAGGTTCCGCAATTCGCCAGGAGACTGGAAACTCACGTTGTCATGACATCCAGGGTGGAGCAGGAACAAACATGCAGGTAAAGGGAAATTACGAATTATTTAAATAAGCACCAGCACGTGCGTCGTGCCTACCACAGCCTCGGCAGCGGAACCTTTCACGAGACGAATCACGGCAGACTTAAACGGCATGAAATCCTATTTTTAACCTATGCTTTTGTTTAAGATGGTCCTGTAGTTCTGTTAAGTTGAGAGGGTGCATAGCGTGTCACGGGTGAACCTCCGCCACCAACTGCAAAGAGATGGGGGTTCGTTAAGGATGGATTGCAGTGTAGCACAATCTCGCTGCCTTCTCGCAAACACATCAACTTGCAGCCACAAGGACGTAGGAAGCGTACGCCGCTAGACATTCGCCCTCAACATAAGCAGCCCAATTTCGAGCACAGGTATTCAACTATAGCGGCACTAACCCTCCTCAGCTTCCTTGGGAGCTCGAAATGCGATCCCTGGGCATACATAGATAGTCTCAATCGAATAGTAAATTTGTAATTGGGGTCACGGCAGACCCGAACGAACGCACATGAAGAGCAGGAGTGAATCATCGACAAATAACACTCTAAACAACGCACGATGCTCCATGAACAGGGGCGATGTCTTTGAAAGATTAGTTCGCATTAAGACCTCAGTTATCTGATGAATGCTCCATGAGTCCTCGGAAAATCACGTGGACTAATCCAATGTTAGGGCGGTGCGTAAAATGGCCCAGGAGTACAACTCTTGGGGCTACGTTTGGTGAAAAATTTGAGTCTAATTCGAAGGAATCATCATGACAGAACAATACAGTTGTAGCGACCTGGGATACAGAAGCACGCACGTACATATACATAATACCGAAAAGGGTTTAGGCCAGATATTTCTGGCTAGTAACTCTTACTCCAAGCTCATTGGTCCACCGGAGCCATACCCCAACAAACACACACACACCCCAAACCCTGAATTTTTAATGCTTTGCCGTCATGTTTCACTGCAAAGCGTTGCAAGGCGTACAGGGTTTAACTCCGCGCCCGTGTTGCATACAAGATTACCGGCGATGACCGAAAAACTGGAAGAGTGGTCATCGGTCACGCGGCTGCTCGACATTTGGAACCGTCAGACGATTCAAGCACGGGGCTGGATGCATTGCCCTGGGTTTCAGGGTTCCCCAGCTTGCAAGTACTTACAGCAAAGTGCATTCGATTGGCAAACAACGCGATCGCATCTCTTCAAGACCAGTTCCACCTCCCGGAGAGAGAGGAATTCATGTTTTGTGGCCATGCGATGCTGTTTGTTAAATTCTAATGGAGATCATGGGGTGGTGGGGCCGCTAGTTGTTCCCATGATAAAGAACGTCATTTAGAGAATTTTCGCCTTTGCAAGCCTACAGAACACAACAAACCCCACTGCGCAATCACTGATAACACCGAAGGCGGAAAGATGAGCTCGAATTAACCGCAACCCACCCACCCCCACGCACTTGAGAAGTAGATGACTAAGACTCGCGAAAAAGTAACCACTAACGGTTGAAGTGTCGAGGAAAAAGTCAATTCTACAGTGCCTAATCGGGCGGAAAACTAATTTTGGAGGAATCTGGTGTATTAGTCAGCACCGACTAGTCGAGGTGAGTCGTGCTTCTACTCAACGCTCGTGAAGCAAAAACTGGTGACACGAGAAGCCCATGGGCACTCGTTTGCGAAACCGCAAACAAGTCACCCGTGAGAACGCGATTCATTTCTTCGCCTTATGCCTTAGGCTGTCCACACACAGTTTCACAGCACTGCGTTCAAACCCGCTTCAATATGGGCAATTTTGACACAGATCACAGAAGTGTTGAATCCACCTCCTGCAAATTCGCAAGAGGCTTTCTGTGTTAAACAAAAGAAACGCTTCAAACTCCAGTTTTCTATAACCCACATACCTTAACGAGATTTACTCAGACTTGTAATTGCCTTGATGGCTAAGTTCGCACTACTGACGACAGGTAGTAATATGAACATTCGCCCGTTGCGAGCCAAGAAGGCCTGACGAGATGTACACGTGGCGATGCCTCTTTTAATTCAAGCATGCCTGATGGACGCGAAAAGGCGGTCACACGCCACAGCTTTGACCTAACAGCAACGTGCTGATTGAGTCATGGGGAAGTCCGGTCAAAAGGCAAGATTGATGACCTTTCGGTGGCACCGCCAGAAAGTGCGTCCATTAGAATCGACGCCAAGTGGCTGTTCGGAGAGAAATGTCGACCCAGCGCATTTGATAACGACGGCAACTGCAAATACCACCTCGACGTTGTGTGTTCTCGCCACCAAATTGCTTCGAAAATGAAACAACTGTTGTACAATCACACGAACAGCGCTTACGGATAGTGCCACCTAAGTTGATGGTGTTTTGACGGTTGATTTAAAGGCGGACTATCACAGCTTCGTGATTCGGGTGCAAATTATTAAATAAATCCGAGGAATAGTTTCTCAAAGTCAAATACTATTCCATATACCTCTGTGCAGAGAAAGCGTTCTTTCTTGTTGGAGACACGGATGATAATAATGTTGACAACAAGAGAAAATTAGGAAACAAAAACTCGATTTTCGAAGTCTCGTTTGCAGAGGATGAGAGTTAAGACAGTTAGCCGATGTCGGAGAACAAATTTCTAAGTTTCAAGGCGTCAGCAGCCCAAACGTACGTCGCCACACAATGGACGGTGGCAGGGGCTGTGTGACAAGATGCAACATAAATTTACCAGTGAGTGGATTCATTCACCAGCGGCCCATTTAGCGGATGTGAAAAGCGCCATGAACGCACTGCTATGAAGGCGCGAGAGGCGAGACTGCTGCGAAAGCGGTTGCAATAACAACTTACATGCTGCCCCACAGCTTCAGCTTGACTCGATATTTGCCTCGGCCATCGTCGACGTTGATCTTCTTCTCGCCCCGATACCAGGAGATGTTTGGAATCGGCTGGCCGACAATGTCGCAGAAAAAGCGCACGAACTTCTCCTGAGGATTGTACGTCACATTCTGCATGTCCTCCTTTAGGTGGATGGATTCTGTCGGCGGGAAAAAGAGGAGAAAATCGCCGTCACTAAACTCTAACCAAACTATCTCCGCGTTGTGAGCCCGTTTCGTGTGGTAACGCAAGTAAAAACAAGCCCAAGACTATCGAGTCTTTTGATTTCATCATGAGGACACATTCATGAGTAAGACATCCTGCTAGCCAGGCTTAAATTTCTCTCCGATGACATGAAAACCGCTGCCCCTGTTGTAATATTAATGACGTATTCCTTTCCCGATGCCACATCACTCCATAATGGTGACTCAAATTAATTAATTATTAATGCGGAATGGGAAGAAAACGACTTTTTAAGTCCGTTGGGGGCACAGTTAATGAATTACGATTTGAGGTTCTTCATGGTTGATTGACTCGACGTCTTCTTCCGGGACAAATGCGTCACCTAACACAGTCCACTGGGGGTACAGACGAGCACATCTGCAGACTCCGGTGGTCAGTGATGAGACTTGGTTTGAGACTACATTTCAAGTTAGGTGGCGCGCGATTAGTAGTTACATTCACACTTTAATTGAGTGGCAAGGTCTGTATGTTAAGTGCCTGCAGTCGGGTTTGAGACAAGTGTTCGGCTTTTCTATTGTAACCGAAACACCGACCAACTAAGGTCCTTCTGGTGTGTGGGAGAAACGTAGGAATTGGAAACCGCGCATTAATATTAATTAAGGGTGAAACAGCCTCTTCAGAGAAGTCGCAAGCACTTATTTACATATGGCAAGAATGTGTGAGAAAAACACCACTGGGCTGTGCAGCCGAAATTTTCACTATTCACGCAGCGATCCCCAACACGTGGACTGGTAAACCGAATTTTTAAAACAGGCGAACAGTCACTCGCGGACCTGAAAACAGAACTGGAAAAAGGAGAGGCACGTCGTATGTTAATTATTCTTAGTTGGTTTGTTAATTTACCGGTGAGCAGCACAAGCACACACCGTTTGACTTGTTCTAACACTACTAACCAACGACAGCAAGACACCGACCATTCCACAGACAGCGAAAATGATATTAAAGGGTGAAGGAGTTCATTCTGGCGACACGGAGGCAGTTACTGGCAGAACCCTGTTTTTAACATTGACCACAAAATCGCAACTGAAATGACTGCTTTGCCAAAGGGTCCAACACCGTCAACAAGTCAACGCCGCGGTTAGTTTTACGCAAAACCGATAAACAACAGCCGGTTGTGTGCGTGTGTATGTGTGTGGCGGGACAAGTGTTTACGCATGACTAATTATCGGCGGTGTTGGTGGTTGTGCACAAGGGCGCGGTATGGATTAGTGCCTGAGGCGTAGCATCATCAAAATGGGGACAGAAGTAGCCAATCACGCGGCGTGTGTCACCGCGGAGTGTGCACGAGAGAACGACTTAGTCGGCAGGGTAGGAGGGTGGAAGGCGAGTCTAATTGATGGAGTTTACTGCAATAAAGGGCCAAAATTAGGGAAATAGGGGTGAAGAAGCATTTATCTAGAAGTAAACTGCAGGGAGAGAGCGTGGGACTGGAAAATCGACAAAAATATATGTGTGCATTTCCCGCAGAACTGTTGAAACGCCTTTCCCCGTCTGGTTGTCTTCCAATTAGCCATGGCAAATTAAAAAGCAAACATTTTGCTATTCGAACACGCAGCACCAGAACAAATTTAAAACGACGGGAACACAATAGGTGACGTGCCATGTGTTGTGAAAGCTCATTAAACAGGATCTAAATTCAGTAATTAGAATCTGCAATCTCTGCGCGAGAAAAATAACCTATTCCAGGTGCTTGAAATCATCAGAATTCATCGTACTCCCGAACGACCACCCTACTTGTCAGCTGTTTTTAATCGCCTGCTTTGTCTGTTTGCATCAGGAATTGTGGCAAAAAAATGTTACGTCACCAGGGGTATGAAGGTAATGTGCAGGGAAAACAACCAGACGTTATGACATCAAAATACGGATTCAAGCGTCAAAATTTACCTACGGACCCATTCACTCCATAAAGACATACGAACTCGTCTAATTTTGCAAAATAGACATTAAGAGACAAGGGTCTAAGGGAAATTTGTCAGCTGAGAGACCACGAAAGATGCACATCCACTAACTTTTCAAACGAGAACTCGACTAGAGAAAAAGTGAGTACCAATTTAACAGTGATTTTGGTTTGGTAACATTGGAGCGCTTTTTGTCAACAAAGGTACACAAAATAAGAATTTAATGGTTTGAGTGCCAATTAAGTAGGGCGAGGCACGACTGCTTGGGTTATGGAATGACGCCTTGGGCGGTGTCGGTTGCAACGCATTAGGCAATCAAAGGCGTTTGAGCGAGTGTCTGAGTAATCCACGGCATCGCAGCCACAGACAATCCCGAAATTGCAAGCTTCAGGGACGAGCGACTTACAAGTGCAGTATCTACGTAAACCCTAGGATAAACTGTGCAGAAAAGCACATAAGTTAAAATCAAAAATAGGTTTTTTTACCCCTTTTGAAGTTGGCTGCCTTAAGGTCGTCCCGATATGACAGTTGGACTGTGGAAGATGACTAATAAACTGTCATCTCTTTCTGTGTTTCAACAAATATTTCCTTTGGGAAAAATCCGCGGTTGAATAGGTGGAAATGCAGTTATTAATTTCCCTGCAACACCATTGACTGAAACGGCTGTTCGATGAAATTTTAAGGGGTTGCAAGAATTGCAGGTCATTTGGGAGGCACCGCTGTCGACCGCTCTCGGCCACGAAAATGTTACTCTTAACAAATCACGCCTTGGGAAGTGACACGCGACCCAGAAAAATCCTTCATCACGCGCTCGTAAGTAACTGGCTCCCTGCTTCATCAAGGGATGACTTGCGGACAGTAAAGTGACGTCCATTCCGTTTCTGGGTGCCAATTGATGCCGTCAATTTTGCAACACGACTGTTTATTGCTCTGCTAATTACCACCGCCGTACTGATGAGCCCTAACACACCGAAACGAAAACCAACCCACTCATGGATCCCAGTTTGTGAAACCCATTGCATGAATTTGGCCGGTTGATATATCTAACATGGAACATTCCGAGATGGATTAGTCTCGTACAAATCACAAACAGTTTTCCGAATACATGGCGCAGACCGTGTAAAACGACACCCGATTTTGAGTCTGGGTGTCAAGATGTCAGCTTTGTTTTTGTACGAAAATCAGGTCGGCATTGAAGGCGACAGAAGGGCCGCAATGACAATGGTTCGATGAATTATGGGCTGACGAGGGTATTTGGTTACCCAGGATGTTCCCGTTTTATCCTGCTAAGCCTCCACAATCGAGGCCACGTTATTTACCTCAACAAGGCGATTATCTACGGCACCTGTTGTCGGGTATGAACGAGTTGTCTGAAGGCCCTCACTTCACGCAAACAGCGAAGACACATTGGATGGTTTGTTATTTTTAAAAAAAAACGACATTGTCGTAAAACGGGGCAACTCATCTGAGAATGTCTTGAGGCTTTTGCGTGGTAAAGCATAGCTGCAAGGGGTACACGTTGGTTACTGCCTTAACCCGTTTTGAAATGTACTTTTCATTCACGACCACAACTATCGCAAACATTGCAAGAAATTTCACCCAGGCTAAAGTAAACGTTTCCACACGGTCCCTATGCTAAAATTTTAATGATGGAAAAATGTTGGTTTATTTCAATTTAAAATGAGACATATCTGAACCAATCGGTGGCACTTTCAAGTACCCCATTCATATTTTGATGAAACCTGAGATATCAGATCTCTGAAGTGGGGCAATAACCTCCCCCAACGTTTGTTTACTTGTCTGATTTGTGCTGGAATTACACGCAGCATAACGCCACCTGGCGCACTTTGGTTGTGACGTAAGCGTATTCGGAAGTACAAAGTGGGACAAGGAATGGGGAACCGTACGGATTTATGCTTAGCCGCTATTCCGTGAAGTATAAACAAACCTTTAGCGTTGGGGCGGCCCAAGCGTTTGGCATACCTAAGTGGTGGGTAGGTTAGATTGGAAAAAGCAACATTGCAGAATGCAAACCAATTAAAATCAATATGGTACTCACCCGCGTGAACAGGTTCCTGCTTGTGCGCATAGGGTGAACTATAACAAATACGAAAAAGGTTTTGTTTATCATTCTGACATTAAGACAAGAAGATGTTTACTAAAAATAGTACAGCAAGCTGAGAAAGTCCACTTTGCGGAGATACTTGGTAAAATCATTGTCCACACTATCTGTTTGTCTTCGGCAGTTAGAGATCTATATTACAAATTGGGTCGTGGGTTTTTACTCCAAATGAAGGTAAAAAACCCATTGTAATTCCAATTCTCCTTTGCTCTGTGCTACTCACCGTGTTGATACCTGATCGATGCGAGGAACGCACTCGAGTTTGGATACAACGTGGTCTTGTAACAACTAAAAGACAATCCGGTCCAACTACACCACTAGATTGATACATGTAGCTTTCGCCTGGTTTCTTTAATATCTGCAAACGAATTCTTTTTCGGACTGAGATATTGATATTCCTCTGTTCCAAAACGCGAACCTACAACTTCTAACGTAACACTCCCCAGTGCGTTGGAGCTTGATAAGATAGCCTGTCAACTAAGCCATGGCAATGAGCCAGAACATTCTTTGCAATCAGTGCTTACGCATTTTAGTGGCGACCAAAATTGAATTTTGTGCGCTGTGCACACGCTTTGGACTTCAGTGAGGCGTTTAAATGAATATTTAATGCACTGATTAAACTCACGAGTCCTGTGACAGAGTGCCAGTGTCGCGAGGGAATGTTTGCTGGAGAAAATTGTACTCCTCCATGTCGTTGTCCACTTCCTCGTCGTCGGTGTCAATTATCTGCATTGCGGCGTCGTCTCTCACGTAGTTGGGTAAATTCATCACCGAAATAGCCCCGCCTTCGCCCGCCGTCTTCTTGAGGTCGCCTGCGTTCAGGGGGTCGGATTTGGAGGGAGTAGCACAAGTAGCGAGGAGGAGTAGGAGGAGAAGGAAGAGAGGGTTGTGGTAG